GCTGTATCTCAAGTGGTAGAGCGCTAGCCTTGAGCTGAAGAGCTGAGGGACAGCGCCTAGGCCCAAAGTTCAGGCCCCACGACTGGACGCCCCCCCCCCCCCAAAAAAGAAAAGAAAATTATTAGCAAAGAAATCAGTTTTCAGTGGCTCCATAGATGAAGTCTATTTAACCTTCTATATAATATTCTACCCAATCACTACAGGATACACATTTTTCTCAGCAATTTATGAACTTTATCCAAAATAGATCACATCTTAGGCCTTAAAGCATGTCTTAACAATTACAAAAGCAACCACACACAAACACATACACACACACACACAAAACCTCACATAATTTGTTAGCAGGAACTATAGAAATTTTAAAAACATATGAACATTGGATAATACACTTTTGAATAATCAATGGATCATTGAGAAACTCACAAGGAAATTTTTTTAAAAATTTGCTTTAGTGTTGCTGTTACAAGAAAATAGAAACACGTTTGTGGAATATGAATTAAAATCATAGAAGACATGAGCCAAACCTGTTGATGTTGTAATCCCAGCTGCTTGGGAAGTGGAAATAGAAAAATTACAGTTTGAGGTCAACCTAAGCAGAAGCTTCAGATCCCATCTGAAAAACAAATTAAAGCAAAAAGAGCTTAGGATGTGGCTCAGTGTGTTTAGTAAGTGCAAGGCCTCAAGTATTGACTAACATTGCCCCCCACCCCTAAAAAAAAAGAGAGAAAGAGAGAATGAGAAAGGAAGAAAGACAAAAGAGAGAGCAAAAATGAAAGTAGAAGGGGACTATTTGAACAGAGGAAGAAGAGCAGTTGGAGTTGGGAGACGGGCATGCGATGTGATGGAAGCTGAGCATAATTAAAATTCATGGAAGTGGCGCTGTAGCTCAAGTGGTAGAGCGCTCGCCTTGAGCTGAAGAGCTGAGGGACAGCGCCCAGGCCCAGAGTTCAAGCCCCACGACCGACAAAAAAAAAAATAAATAAATAAAATTCATTAAAAATAAGTATGAAGGAGCTGGGTGCTGGTGGCTCACGCCTGTAATCCAAGCTACTCAGTAGGCTGAGATCTGAGGATCACGGTTCAAAGCCAGCCCAGGCAGAAAAGACCACAAGGCTCTTATCTCCAATAAACCACTAGAAAACCAGAAGTGGCGCTGTGGCTCAAGTGGTAGAGCGCTTGCCTTGAGCTGAAGAGCTGAGGAATAGCGCCCAAGCCCAGAGTTCTAGCCCCACAACTGACCAAAAAAAAAAAAGTATGAAGGTGTCATAATGAGCTTATTATCTTTGCACAATTAATATACTATTTACAAAAATATTGCCAGGTGCTGGTGGATCACACCTGTAATCCTAGCTACCTGAGGTCTGAGGATCACAGTGCAAAGCCAGTCTGGGCAGGAGAGTCTGTGAGACCCTTAACTTCAATGAACCACTAAAAAAAAGCCAAAAATGTGCTGGCTCAAGTGGTAGAAAAGTTCAGGGACAGTACCCATCAGTGCACACACACAAAAATGATATGTAAGACCTAAAATACACAACTGTTTTGTGTTTAAGTATTGGTAATTCATAAAACTTTTACTTTCTAAAAAATCCAAAGAAATCTATAGCATATATTTAATACCTTCAAGTCTAGAACAGAAAATTTTGTACAGGAAATTTTGTCAACAAATCTCTATAACTAGTAACTTACTGGTATTTAATAAAATCATATGATCTTGGAACATCTTCTTAGGTTATACAGAACGTGAGAGGATTTGGAAAATCAACGCAGGTGTCTTGAAGTAAGAGGATAATAATTGTGCTTAAATAAATCTTTTATTCTTAGCTTTGTAGCTTGGCCATTAGCTGTACGTAACTTTTATGTAACTTCGAATGAGTGCCTACTATAGCCAATATTCCCATGCAGACCCTCAATCAGGTATTAGATAGACCCAACATTGCTTATTTTCAAAAATCCAATGAAGTTGAGGATATGCAGGATAATGTGGCTAAATACCCCGAAAGCAAATATTTATTCACTTCTTAATATAGGCCAAGAACCATAGTATTATCTTACATTCTTGGTCATAGATGAGCAAATGGAAGCTCAAAGCACTTAGCTAATTGACTTAAATAGCAAAGCTAAGATTTGCGGCCAGATCTAATTCCAGTGAATGACCTTCCCACCTATAGTATTCCCTCCCATGTGGCTGTGACTGAATTTTCCTGCAGACCTCCCTTCAATATATTAGGAGTAAGGCAGTAACCAGAGGAAGAAGAGCCACTCACAACTATCCAGGGGTGAGAGATAGAAGGGCTCTAAGATGCCTATGGATGGACATTCTGGTTCGGTTCCTTCACAAAAATCCTGAGAGGATTAGCACTGGGCAAGCAAAAAGGGCTGTGAGCATTTCAGATGAAAGGTCCTAGGTGCATATAAAGAGTGGCTATTAGAAACCAACATGGAATTTTATGTGAAGGAGAGTGCTTACTAATTATAAGATAGCTACTCATTTCTAGGTTTATTTTCTTGCTTAATCTCTCATTGGCACTATATCACAAGGATAGAGTGCCCAGAGGTTTATGACCAAAATTTAAAAGCTAAGTTTGAAGGTCTTGGATAGATCTACCTGCTTCAAATAATAAAAATAAAAATAGAAATTGTAATAAAGTGTATTTACACTGTCTTTGCTCAAATGATTTCAACATCTCTGCAAAGCTTAGCTGTTAGCATCTCTATTGGCTCCTTGGTCTATGACTTATAAGCATCTGAGTTTTTTTTTTTTTTTTTGTACTAGTAGGAACTGAAGAGGAACTAATTGCATCATTTCTATTTGGTGAGATGAAATGAAAGAGAAGAATATTTTTTCCAATAGGTAGGATGGCCACAACTTTTCCAATTCATTTTGTATTCTTAGGCAATCCCAGATCAGCCCAAAAGTTGTCATTTTAATGTTCCCCTGACACAAGTTAATATTTCCCTTTTTCTGATGTTTATTTTTAAATGACCCAGGCAGTGTCTCAAAAAGAAACATGATTTCCATAGATTTCCTGTCCCAGCCCCCTCATTAAACACTTAAAACTTGGTCACTTCCAGTAAGCATGGGTGTTTGGTGGGAGCGTACAATGATTCACCTGTGTTTATGGTAAAGAAAAGGAGTGTGTGTTGGGGGGGCATACAACCAAGAAATGTACATGACGGGGGCTGGGAAGGTGGCTCAGTGGTAGAGTGCTTGCCTTGCATGCATGAGGCCCTGAGTTCGATTCCTCAGTACCACATAAGCAAAAAGAAAAAAGCCAGAAGTGGCGCTGTGGCTCAAGTGGTAGAGCATTAGCCTTAAGCTGAAGAGCTGAGGGACAGCGCCCAGGCCCAGAGTTCAGGCCCACGACCGGACCCCTCCCCCCCCAAAAAAAGAAATGTACATGACTACCTTTGGCCAAAAAAAGAGAAAAAAACTAAACCACTTAAAACTTATTTGGGGGAATGAGAGAGAAATGGAGTTAAAAAAAATCTTTTCTAGAAATTTGATTGTACTTTTCCTTTGTGGCTTTAAACAGAAACCAAAGAAAGATTAAAAGTCACAACCAAGGCCACAGAGTTGATAGCCACTAAGCAGGACTGGCTATGGACTGGCCAGGTCAGTACATCTATTTCATTCTTTATTCTTGGAACCTAGCTTCAAAAACTATACATACTTGCCATCTTTTTTCTCCCACCTGTCCTTACTTCCTCTCTCTCTGATTATTAAAACCAGTATATTCTTAGCCTCCTCCCCATCTTATCATGCCATTCTAACTAGGGTAATGAAAGCTGCTGAAATGAATTCATCTCTAATTCTACATCACTTGAAAATGATAGCATTGGTTCATATGTGACTTCAGATGCTACTAACAAGAACATACACAAGCAGTACAAGCGGGAGGAGGAGGTCAACTCATTCATATTATTATTAGCTTGACAATGAATCTAAGACCCTAATGGATGCACAACTGGGAATACTGTAGGTATTGTCCTTGTCATTGAGGAATTCAGCACTAGCTAAGGAGAAAGCTACCACACTGATGACTACATATATAACCACTGACAGTAAGGATGAGTCTTGCATTGGAAAAGTTCAGAGTGTGTGTAAGCACATAATAGGGAGACAAAACAGTTTAAGTACCAGGGTGTTAGGAGTTTAGTATCATTTAGCCAAAAACCCTGCATAACTAACTCCTTTGGAGTTTTCAGATTTTGGATTATTTGCATTTACATATCGAATTATGTTATGAAAGGAAACAAAGTCTAAGCATAAAAAGTATTGATATATGTGTGTATGTGTGTGTGTATATATATATATATATACATATATATATATATATATATATCGTATGCATACATCCTGCAGGGACTTTTATACCGTGCTTTTAGTGCTTGAGTTTTCACTGCGACTCATCACATGAGGTCAGTATGCATTGTGGTTTCAGGTTGGCTTCAGATTTCAGACTTTTTGACTGGGAATGTTTAATCTATCCTGAGAGACAGTGGGTAGAAAATGTGGAACTATTCAGGTGGACCTGTTGCAACAATGAGAAGTACAAAATGTCATGTCAAAACCAGCTTTACAATGTCGGTGGGGGGGGGGTATGATTGGGTGGGGGGGAGGGGGGAGGCTGGGAAGGGAGGTGAAGGGTAAACAAAGGAGGAGGCTGCAATGCTTGGTAAGAAATGTATGCATTATCCTGCCCATGTAATTGTAACCCCTCTGTACAGTATGTTCTCAAATAAAATAAAATTAAATTAAAAAAAAAAAGAATTTGAATTCAAGTCCAGTATGGGCACAAAAAGAAAAAAAAAAAATATATATATATATACATACACACACATACATATACATATATATGATTTCCAATATGGCGGGTTAATTATTAGGAACTGCAGAAATAAACAGTGATTAACACATGGGTAGCTTATTTAAATTTGTTTCACTGAATTTCAAAATGATTTCATTTTCCAGGTGTTAATACAATTTGTATTTTCAGAATGATTACAACAAATGAAACCAAAATGAATGGATTCCTCCTCATGGGGTTTTCAGAGAATCGCAACCTGCAGATTTTACAAGCTTACCTGTTCTTGGTGGTGTACCCTTTGGCCTTGACAAGCAACTTCATCATCATCACCAGTCATCCATGTATTACTTCCTGAAGCAACTTTCCCTTCTGGACCTCTCCTTCATCTCCGTCACAGTCCCCCAGTCCATTCACAATTCTCTCACAGGCAATGGCTATATTTCCTATGCTCAGTGCATGCTCCAAGTGTTCTTCTTCACATCTTTGGCCTGGGCTGAGGTGGCCATTCTCACGGTGATGTCTTATGACCGCTATGTAGCCATTTGCTTCCCACTGCATTATGAGCTCATCATGGATGCCAGAAGATGTAAGAGTGCTGTGACAGCTGTATGGGTAAGTGGAGGCATCACAGGAACTTTGTACATAGCTGTCATGTTTTCTATCACATTCTGTAGAGCCAAAGTGATTCACCAATTCTTCTGTGATGTCCCTCAAATAGTGAAGCTCTCCTGCTCCAATGATTACCTTGCAGTCATTGGAGTGGATATTGTCTTGTCTATGGCAGCCTTCCTCTGCTTCGGCTCCATTGCCCTCTCCTACATCCACATATTCTCCACGGTTCTAAGAATACCCTCTGCTGAAGGCCGGTCCAAGGTCTTCTCCACCTGTCTGCCCCACCTCTTCGTTGTCTCATTTTTCCTCTCTACATCCATGTGTGAATATTTCAAACCAACTTCAGACTCTCCAACTGCCTTCGATCTTTTTCTATCTATCTTTTACACAGTAATTCCCCCAACACTCAACCCTGTTATCTACAGCCTGAGGAATGAGGCCATGAAGAGAGCTGTACAGAAGTTAATGTTGGACAGAGAATTCACTGAGAAATAAGTGGTTTTATTCAGGCCTTTGATAGATCTCAATATTATACATCTGGAAAGTTTTATTAGCAGCATTCCTCAGTATGTAGTGTCAATAAAAAGCAACCAAGATGCATTGTGTTCATAAACTCCTTTGTTGAGTGCCAACTCTTCTATACAATTACGCAGATATTTTAAAATACATTTTTAAAAAGCAATATTTTATGGTATATACTATCTCTTCCTAGTGTATGTGTTCATCTCTTATGTTAGAGGAATTTTTCCTTAAGAATTAATAGTATATGTATGAGTCAAGCGAAGAAGGTCAGATAATGTGATGTCAGGAAAATGAACCCTTAGATATGTATCTTAATGTTTTTTTCTTTCATGCATGTGTTTCTAACGCATTTATAAGATTATCTCTTTGTTGCTTTGTATGTCCCTCCCCCACAGTATAACCCCTGCTTTCACTATATTTGATGTCAGTGTAACTTGTGGAGGAGATGGGGAAAAACCAGTTGTTTAAGGATACAGGTGGACCTGTTGCAACAATGAGAAGTACAAGTTGACATGTCCAAAACGAGCTTTACAACGTCGGTGGGGGGGGAAGGGGGGGCAAGGAGAAGGATTGGGATTGGGGGGGAGGGGGGAGGCTGGGAAGGGATGTGAAGGGTAAACAAAGGAGGAGGCTGCAATGCTTGGTAAGAAATGTACGCATTATCCTGCCCATGTAATTGTAACCCCTCTGTACAGTATGTTCACAAATAAAATAAAATTAAATAAAAAAAAAAGAAAAAAAAAAAAAGAAAGTGTGGAACTATGCAGAAACACAGTCTAAGATGGGCTTAGAAAGGAAGATAAAAAGATCAATGGATCCCTGCTCTAGGAGGGTCTTCTTGGATGTTAGCAATCTGAATCTCATTTGTTAGGAAACCAGAAAAGTCATAAAGGCTGAGGTAACCAGGAAGAAACACACATGACCCAGATCAGAACATGGCCACATGAGAAAGAATTACAACACTCTTGATTTTGTACATAAAATTATGCCAGTCCATGTAAGAGGCAAGATGGGACATGATCATTAGAGGAGCTGTTGGATGGACCTTTCTATGGTAGCTTTCCATGGAAATCCTCACTGAATTTTGTGAGTGAAGGTCTGAGTCAGTTTGCTTTTCTCAAATTGCACAAGCCCAGAGACAGGTGAAGAAGGTCTCTCACCACCCTGCACACCCACAGATAAAAGCTGGTGACTCCTCAGCACAGCCTACGGCAGGAATGCCATGCCTTTTATTTTCTAGAATGGACAGACAGAAATGAGACCTCTCATTGCATAGAGATTTCCTTTCTTTGTCTTCCTCTTTGGAGAACTGGCCATGCTGATGGCGGATCTGTTCTGGAGTGAGACTGTTTACCACAGTGGGAAGGAGGCACACCCCACTAGAACCAACACGCCCAGTTTTCTCTGAACATTCTTCTTTAGCAAGCTTACATATAGTACATAGACCCTGTCAGCCACTCACTGAATTCCTCACAAACTCAAACCCAAATCCCCTGGTGGGCAGAGCGGGAAGGTGTCTGGCCACTGTCCAGAGTGTAAACAATAGAGGCAATTCTTAGGCAGCCATTAAGCATGTCAGTTACACATTAGCCCAGGTACTGTGAGATCTTTTTAAAATCTTCTTTCCTCTCTTTGCATTTTTCCCCAGAAAGTAAAAAAAAAAAAATGGGACTCTGTTCCACCAGATTTTCAACATTGTCTCTAATTCTACTTTTCCATTTGTGGAAGCAATACTGAAGAGTTTCTCTCCAGTATTTTTATGACTTTTTTTGTAATTTTTAAAAAATTTTTATTTAATTTTTATTGTGAAAATACTGTACAGAGGAGTTACAATACATGGGCAAGATAATGAGTACATTTCTTATCAAGCATTGTAGCCTCCTCTTTGTTTCCCCTTCCCATCCCTTCCCATCCTCCCCCCGCCCCACCACCCAATCCAACCCCCCCCACACCAAAGTTGTAAAGTTCGTTTTTGACATAACAATTTGTACTTCTCATTGTTGCAACGGGTCCACCTGTATCCTTATTTAAACGACTTGTTTTTCCCCTTCCCCTCCACAAATTATACCGACATCAAATACAGTGAAAGCAGGGGTTATACTGTGGGGGAGGGACATACAAAGCAACAAAGAAATAATCTTATAAATGCATTAGAAACAATCGCATGAAAGAAAAAAAAACATGCAGAAAATACCACTGAGGGCTCAGGAAACCAAGTTTGATGTTTTCTATGAACCATGATTTCTCTTTCTTTTTGAGCTCCTCTATTTAATGGACCCTATTAGTATAAAATACTATCAATAACACAGATGTATGTATGTCCTTTTCTAGTCCCCTGATGTAGGGGAAATGATTTCCCATTCACCTTTGTCTGGGTAGATACACCATAACTGTTGTCTTTGTGGGCAAAGAAGATTTAAACAAGGAAGTGAAGTTCTGGAGGCAAGGAAACCCGACATTCCTTAGGGCAGATATGAAGTAGGCAAGTGTACTTCAATGCCCTCAGCCTTTCTTTTTCCTTTGTCTACTCTCCCTTAGTGCCTTATTTCCTTTAATCTCCTCCTTTCCAAAACCAACTCAAAGAAAATGACCCACATCCAGTCATTTATTTCTTCATGGGCATTAATGAGGCTGGAGAATGTTTATTCATGCTGTGTTTACACTGAGCACTTTATCTTTGGGGAATGAAAGGAATTTCAGGTATTGGATCATAACCCAAAGTTCTAGTTTTTAAGTTCTAGTCACTTGGTGCTTAGAAAAATATTCTTTGCTCAGAAGGAAGACAGTTTTTAACAGGTCCTCCCTCCTACATTTGGAAGAGTCTAGCTTCTGCTCTCCTTTCTTTGTAGAGCTATTCCCAGAGGACAAGGTCTAAGGTTGGAGCACACAGGACAAATAGCACTGAGAGATTTTGAAAATGTTGCTTTATTATGTGTTTGAGGCCTATTCCAGTAGAACTCTCACACCAGTCAGAGAAGAGGATCCATACATCAGAAAGTGAATAAAAGATGTCAGAACATCACTGACTCCCATCCTCCTTGGATATGGCTGGAAGTCTTCCAGAAAACTCATTTTCTGCTTTCCCTGCTACCTCAGTTTTAATAGGGGAGAGGGTATCTGGAGAGAGATCTTGCTTGATTAAACTTTATCTTATTATTTCCCAGGAAACTGGAAATGTTTTCATGTCCCTCTTGTTTTCTCTATATGGTTCATCTATATAGAGAGGTGTAATATATTCATTAGAAAGGTCCAGACTTGATGTCACATCTTAGTTTTGTCTCTAGAGCGAGGCTGAAGAATTTATCCTGGAGTTGTTTTGATAAAAATAAAAGAATTGACAAATCTTTGAAGTTCCTTCTAGCTCAAGCAAGATTAAGTGATATGTCTTAGTAGGTTGTTATTTAAACCAAAATGATGCTTACATTCATGTCACAGGTGAAAGGTAAGAGTATTTTAAGAGATAGTGGAAATTGTCCTTCTCCCATCCCCAAACTGGAACAATTAGGGGGTCATGGGAAGAAGTAGAAGCTAATGGTGGCAAATTACTACTAACTATATTATCAATAAGATTGTTCAAGGAAATACATTTTCCAGGAGAGGGAACAGACTGAGACTGCAGGAGTGATGGGAGAGGTTCGTTTCTCTTAATGGCTGCAGTTTGGTCTGAGAGAGGACACGATGAAATGGAGCTGCCCAAGAGTTCCTGAAAAAGTTAGAAGACAGGAGCTATCAGATGATCAGTGAATGTTTCTCTCATAGATAAACAGCAGTTCCAGAAATACTCAGAGCTTCCAGATCATCAGATTAGAACTTTCTAGTAAATATTGGGCCTCATCAATTAAAAGACAAAAGAAGTTTAGTGAAGGCTCATGATTTCAGAACTTATTGGGATTATTTTTTGGCAGAATGTTTCTGTCTTCAGTGTCATGGTAAGCATATTTAGTGAGAGAGTAATGTTAATAGAGTCAAGTTTTGAGATTGATACCAAATGAAGTTCTCTCTAATTCAATGATGGTTGACAAAGTCACCTGTGTCCCCAGTGCTTTGCCAGGCAAGACAGGACAAATGGAAGGTAATAATATTAAGAATGTGTGGAAATTAGCAGAAGCATCAAACATATACTTAAAAGAGATAGAAGATATGGAAATCTTTAAACCTGGAGTCATTAGCTCTGATGACCTACTTTAGGAATAGGTTCCTCAAAAGAGAATGAATGAATTAGTTGGACCAAAATAAAGTCACCATTACTCCAGAGTTTGTGTATCTTAGAGTACTTCGGTGGCTGCTACATTTGGATCTTCAATGTCCCCCAAAGGCCCATGTGTTAAAAGCTTAATTCCAGTTTGGCACTAGGGGGAAGTCGTAGAAACTTTAAGAGGCAGAGCCTAGTGGGAGGGCTTTATATCATTGGAGGTGTGCCCTTGACAGGGTAGTGAGATTCTAGTCTCTTTTCTTTCCTTACATTTCCTCCCTATGAGGTGAGCAGTTATGTTTTGTTTTTGGTCATTGTTTTTTGTCAGTCATGGGGTTTGAACTCAGGCCCTGGGCACTGTCCCTGAGCTCCTTTGCTCAAGGTTAGCATTCTACCACTTTGAGCCACAGCTCTACTTCTGGTTTTCTGGTGGTTTATTGGAAATAAGAATCTCATAGACTTTCTTGCCCAGGCTGGCTTTGAACCAACGATCCTCAGATCTCGGCCTCCTGAGTAGCTAGGATTATAGGGATATACCACTAGTGAGTGTCTGGCAGGTGACCTGTTTTTTCTTGTCACTTGCTCCTGTCTCACCATGGCCCCAAAGCAACAGTGCCAATCAAGCATGGACCATGCATCCAAAACTATGAACCAAAATAAACCTTTGTTTTTTTGTAAATTGGTAGTCTTAAGTATTTGTTATAGTCACATGAAACCAACTAATGCAGTGACATCACTCCATGGCTGAAAATTCATGATTTTAGAATGTTAGTGGTTAGTAATGCAATGACTCAG